AAGAGGGACAGGTGGGAAAGAAGATCATCTCCACAACTACAGATTTATTCCTCCATAATTCAGTTTTAATCAAAGTACAGATAGAAGCTGAGAATATGGCAAGTTTTTCCCTTAAAATGACCATGCTTGCTTACTCTTTGGGAAGGCTTTTGGTACGCCAACACGTACCTAAATGTGAAGATCACACCAATGGGTGGGTTTTTACGAGAAGAGGACCACGTGATAACCTCCTGTCATTATATATATACTTTTTAATCTAGCTCATCAATAGTTTAGAGAGGATTTTAGTTCTATAATTTCCATTTGACTTTAAGCTGTAAAATGAAAAAGTACAGCACACCTCTCTGAAGGAGGCTCTGTGTATGTATATTACGGTGATACATTACTGAAACCATTATTTGAGCAATTTTCAGAAAAGCAATGGTCACTCATGTAATATTACTTTAAAATCTCTAGGACTGAAACCGCTCATGTAAAAATATTTTTCCAGATTTTTTTTAAAAAAAGTCAACTGACCAGAGATGTAATAAGGGTTTATTCTCAGACTCTGATTCTGTTTGATTGACCTAATCATGTGTATCCTATGCCAGTACCACACAGTCTCGATCATTATAGCTTTGTGGAGTTCTGCCCAACTACACACAGTTTCTGGAGAAGTGTGGTTTCTCTGAAGATCTGCAGGTGCCATTTCAAGAGAACACTCCTTACCATGCATGTGGAACCAGTGACTCTATTAGAGCCAGAGCCTGCGGGGACGTAGAACGTTAGCTTGGATTTGTGTGATTATTAAGATGCTATTAACTACAGATTTTCCTGTTGTGAATCTTTAAATGGGATTTATTATCCATAATTGAGAGCAAGAAAGTCTAGCTGCTTATCAAGGAATTAGAACAGTAGGCCAACTTCATGAAAGCAGTGAGCTCCTAAAATAAAGAAACCTAGTTCCGTGAAGTTTTTCTCAAAATGACAAGCTTAGAAAAGATTCTTTGCCGCCCAGCAAATGCTGCCCAGCAATATGAAGGGATTCTTTTCAGTATGTGCCTACAACAACACAGTAAACAAAACTGACCAGGTTCCCCCAGGTGGGGCTTAATGATGGCATCCATGGCAATCCGAGGAAATAGGGAAACTTCTAAGAAGCTTTACAGGGCAGGGGCGCCTGGGTAGCTCAGTTGGTTAAGCAGCCAACTCTTAATTTCAGCTCAGGTCATGATCTCAAGGTCCCGGGATCAAGCCCCATGTTGGGCTCCACGCTCTTGCAGAGTCTGCTTCAGATTCTCTCACCCTTTGCCTCTCCTCCACACTTTCTCTCTCTCTCTCTCTCAAATAATTAAGAAAGAAAGAAAAGAAGCTTTATAGGGCAAAAGCAGAAGTGTGCTCCCCTGTGAGGGGGATTACACACACAGCAAAAGGAGAGATGAAAGGAAAAGGGGTGGAGATGGAAGGAGAGGGTGAAGGCAGGGATGGAGGGAGAGAGGAGCAAAGTTCCGCAAGCAGCGCAGGTGAACCCTGAAAACGTTATGCTGAGTAAAAGAAGCCAAACATGAAGTCCACATTATACGACTCCACTTACATTAAATATCTGGAAGAGGGAAATCCATAGAGACAGGCTGTCAGGGGCTGGGGGAGGGAAATAATCAGGGGATTGACAGCTAAAGGGTACAGTTTCTTTTTGAGGTAATGGAAATGTTCTTAAATGGACTGTAGTGTGGGCACCTGGGTGGCTCAGCCAGTTAAGTGTCCCCCTTCGGCTCAGGTCATGATCCCAGGTTCCTGGGATCAGGCCCCTCATCGGGCTCCCTGCTCCGCGGGGAGCCTGCTTCTCCCTCTCCCTCTGCCCCTCCCCCTGCTCATGGTCACGTGCTCACTCTCTCTCTCTCAAATTTAAAAAATCTTAAAAAAAAGAAAAAGGGGAAAAAAAGGAGAGCAGAGTGAGATGAGGTTTTGGAGGATGTCATTCAACCAAAGACATTACATGCTGGTGCTCCTATGGGACCTAGACACACTGGCTGATGGATGCTGATGAAGATCAGATGGGCAGGTGCACAACAGAGAAAGGGATGTAAATACTAAAAAGTCCTCCATCAGGAAAATAACAAATTTCCTAATTGGGGGTCTTTATACTTAGGTTTGTTTTTGTTTTGTTTTTTTTGGTCATGTTTATTTGGGGAGATGTTAAATGATTTCATTAAAACCGTCATTGCTAATAAACTGTTTATTTTCCTGGGAATCCAAAAGGCCACCTGCAGGTATAGGACGGTGAGCATACTTACGGAAGACCTGAGAACACCCTAAGCTCTCAACTCACAGCATACATGCAAATGAACTTCTAAGAGATTTGTGGTTTCAGGTTTATCATCCATTTTGAGTTAATTTTTGTATAAGGTGTGAGGCAGGGGTCCAACTTCATTCTTTTGCAACTGGATATCCGGTTGTGTCCCAGCACTATTTATTGACGAGATTATTCTTTCCCCATTGGACAGTCTTGGCATCTTTGTCAAAAGTCAACTGGTCATGGATGTAATGGTTTATTTCTAGATTCTCAAATCTATTCCATCGAACTCTAGGTCTCTTTATGCTAGTGCCACAGTATCTTGATTACTGCAGGTTTATAGTAAGTTGTAAAATTAGGAAGTCTGAGTTCTCTTTTTCTTTTTTTCAAGATTGTTTTGGCAATATTTTTTATATATATATATATAAGAGTGCACGAATGAGCATGGGGCAGGGGGGAGGGAGGGAGGGAGGGAATCTTAAGCAGGCTCCATACCACACCCAGCATGGAGCCTGACACGGGGCTTGATCTCAGAACCCTGAGATCATGACCTGAGCCAAAATCAAGAGTTGGATGCTTAACTGACTGGGCCACCCAGGTACTCCAAGACTGTTTTGGCAATTTGGGGTCCCTTGAATTCCGTATGAACTTTAGGATCAGTTTGTCTGTTTCAGCAAAAATTCTAGCTGGGATTTTGACAGGAATTGCTTTTAGTGTGTTGATCAATTTAAGTAGGCATGCATTCCTCATGTATGCTTGACTACACCAGAGACTCAGCCACAGTCAAATCAAGGAACAATAATAATGGCTGACACTTACTGAGCACTGAACTCATACCAGTCCTGTGCTGAGCACTTCATATGGGCCATCTCATCTAATCCTTACAATAATCCTAGGAGGCAGGGCTTATTATTAACCTCATGTAACACATGAGGAAACGGAGGCACAGAGAAGTCAGGTGACTCACCCAAGGTGGAAGTGGCAGAGGCAGGGTTCAGACGCAGGAAGGCTGGCTCCAGAGCCCCTGCCTTTCTCAATCCAGAATATACAGAGAGCCCTCAAACCCATAAGAAAAAGACAAGCACGCCACAGCAGAAAAATGGGGAAAGGATATGAAACTGATAATTCACCAAAGAAGAAAATACAAATGGCCAATAAATACATGAAATGATGCTCCATCTCACTATAATGAGGAAAATGCATAAGAAGCAATAAGATTTTGTCCATCATATTGGTAAAATGCCTTTGATTAATAAAATCTGATGATGTGCAGATCTGGGGAGCAAAGGAACTCAACAGTGTTCAGTGAATATATAATGGTACATTCATTTTGGAAACAATTTGGCAGACTCTATTAAAATATAAAGTATGTATACCCTTCAGCCTGGTAGTTCCACTGAACTTATACACAAAGGATATGGGCAAGAATGTTCACTGAAGCCCTATTTGTAATTATGCAAAATGAAAGCAAATCACACATCGGCCAATAAGGAAATGGCAGCACTGGCCAAGGCCAAAGCCACACCACTGGAATGCCAGCTCCATGAAGCCCAAGTTTACATCTGAAGTATAAAAATGTGGATATATGGATAATGTAGTAGGTTCCATGGTGGCCCCCAAAATATATAGTGGAGTCCTAATCCCCAGATGCCATAAACGAGACCCTATGTAAATGTAAATGTAACGAGAAACAGTCTTTGCAGATGTAATTAAGGATACTGAGATGAGATCATGTAGGATTATCCAGGTGGGTTCTAAATCCAACAAAAAGAACCCCTATAAGAGACAGAAGAGAAGACGACACCACACAAACGAGAAGGTTCTGTAAAGATGGAGGCAGAGATTGGAGTGAGGCAGCTGCAAGTCACCACAGCTGAGCTCGAGCCTTCAGAGGGAGCATGGTCCTGCTGACACCCTCATTTTGGACCTCTGGCTTCCAGAACTCTGAGAGACTATGTTTCTGTGGGTTTAAGCCTGCCGGTTTATAATACTTTGTTATAGTAGCCCTGGGAAATTAATACAGATAGACAGATACATTTATTCAGGTCTTCAATACATATTAAATTAAAAAAAAAGTTGTACGGTAATACACACATAACTAAATTAAAGAGCCGTACACGTTATGTAAAACAAAGAAACACCAAACAATCTATGTGTACAGATGTACGTAACAGCATAGAAAATCATCTGGGACCAGCAGATCCCAAACAGACTTCAGCAGTTCCCTCCCGGGATGGGAGTGACATCTGTAGGATGGGGAGGGGCTGCACAAAATCTCGGCTTTACTTTCTAACATTCACACTTTAAAAAAATGGTTTAATTTTCTTCAAAAAAATGTAAAGAGAAACTGACGACAAAGCTTAGCATTTGAGAGATTACACATAGACACCATTTTAAGAAAAGCCATTTATATTAAAAAAGAAATCTAGAAGGAAAAACAAATCTCTTATTCACTTCAAAGTATCTTTTCCTGAGCTAGGGAAAGGCAGTCTTCTGAGGTCACTGCTGGAGAAAATGCTGTATCAGCTATTATTGTGTGTGGTATTCTTCGCAAAGGAAACAAATTATGTTAAGTATTCAGATTTTCTTTTAAATAATGCAATTTATGACACCCATATTTTATCCGATCAATACAGATAAAAAAATGTTTTCCTTGAGTGTGTATTCTGAGTGGGTGGTGCATATTAATCACTATTGTTTGTTTTTAATAGTTTGATTTACTACTCACGCTTTACTGAGGAAGTTTCTTTCAATGCATCCTCCAGACGTAAATCAGAGTCCCCAGATCCTAAAAATTAAAAAAAAAAGATTTTTAAAATTTAATTATTTTTGCATAAAACAAAATCATACTGAAATAGTTTCTTGTAATAGCTGTTTCCCTTTAGAGGGTGTCATGAAGGTTAATACCACAAAAGGAAGTTGGTGGAAGCCATCCAAAGACACATTGAGTTGATATCCTTCTACAAACAACTTATCTCCACCAAAAGCAAAACAGAAAAACAGTCTTTGCAGATATAGTTAAGGATCTTAAGATCATGTAGGATTTAATCTCACCAAGTTTAATGATCACAGTTTTCAGTCCACTAGAAGGCTGAAGGCTCAACTGTACAGAACACGAAGCACAATCTTACAAAAAAGCCTTCTCCACAGTATGTATGGCTTTTGCAACAAGGAATATTGGAGTCCAAAGCTCCACTGATAATGAGCCAGGTTCTTATATCCCACTCCACATCTCATAAATGCTGCACTGCATTGTGTCAATCCAGGGTACCTTCCCCCCGACCCCAATATCCATATCTAGATTAGCAGCTCTGATTACACATCACTTAAAAGGCTTGAGGGAAAAGCTTTTCACAAGAGAATCTGTTCTCAGAGGTAGATCCATATGCCCACCTCTGCCTGCTTTTGAACTTGACAGCTATCATTTCCCCTAGATGGGCACGTAGTTTCCAACAAGGGTATATATATATTATCGATTTTCAAACTACTATGTATGTATACTGGAACTGAACAAATAGGTAAATGGGTGATGAATTGTAGAAGCCAGGCTTCTCACTGTTGGAGAGGGAAATTATCAGTAAGAGAAGGCCAGAATGGGAGGAGTCCAAGATGGCAGAGTTGGAGACCTTAGTTTCGTCTGGTCCCAGGAATTCAGCTAGATAGCTATCAAATCATTCTGAACACCTGCCAACTCAACCGGAGAACTAAGAATAGCTGCAACTCCACAAATAGAAAAGTGACCACTTTCTGGAAGGGAGGAGGTGCAGAGAAGTGAAACCCAGGTGATATATGGGAAGATAAACCATGAGGGGAGGGAGCCTCCATCAGCCAGCTACTGAAAAGTGATATAGCAGCTGAGTATAAAATCAGAACTTTTGGGGCGCCTGGGTGGCTCAGTCGTTAAGCGTCTGCCTTCGGCTCGGGTCATGATCCCAGGGTCCTGGGATCGAGTCCCACATCGGGCTCCCTGCTCGGCGGGAGGCCTGCTTCTCCCTCTCCCACTGCCCCTGCTTGTGTTCCCTCTCTCGCTGTCTCTCTCTCTGTCAAATAAATAAAATCTTTTAAAAAATAAATAAATAAAATCAACTTTTAGAGGTCTGCTCCGGTGAGGGACATCACTCAGGTGGCTAAGCAGGGGCAGAACCCTAGGTGGGACAGTGTGGTCTCAGGATCCCTAGGGTTACAGGAAGACAGGAGGTGCCTGAGTGCAGCAGAGTTCCCAAGCATCGCAGCAGGGAAGCTGGCGGCAAACAGTGAGCCCAGGAGTAGGCTCTCAGCTCAGGGTCACCATATACCATAAACTGTGGCATACTCCAGCCACTGCTCTCCAAGCAGGGGCCCAGGGAGTTGTAGAACCTCACCGAGATTCCCCTTCTTACCCCAGAAGCAGCAGCTCTGGAGCCCGCCACAGGAGTCTGCTGGGTTTGGAGACTCCACACGGGGTTGTGTGCCTGAGACAGAAACGCTCGGTCACTGGCCAGGTGAGCATGGAGTGTGGCTGGAGACCAGGGAGATGGGAATGACTGACTGCTTTTCTCTGGGGGCTCACTGAGGAGTGGGGCCCCGAGTTCTCGGCTCCTCCGGGGTGGAGATGGGGAGGCCGCCATTTCACTCTCGTCCTCCAAAGCTGTACAGAAAGCTTGCAGGGAACAAAAGCTCCCGACAGCAAACCCGAGCAGATTACTTAGCCCGGCCCCTGGCAAAGGCAGTGCAATTCCACTTGGGGCAAAGACACCTGAGAATCAACGCAATAGGCCCCTCCCATGGAAGATCTGCAAGAACATCCAGCTAAGACCAAGTTTACGATCATAGAGAAATGCAAACTTCCAGCATTAGGGAAATAAAGTACATAGAATTTATAGGGTTTTTTTCCCCCATGATTCCTTAGTCTTTCAATTTTAACTTTTCTTCTCATTCCTTTTACACCCAACTTATTTTATCAACTCTTTTTTAGGTCTTCTTAAATTTTCATTTTTACAGTTACATTCTATCCTTTCATTGTATTTAGTTTTATATTTGTATATATATAAGTTTTTCTTTTTTTTTTTTTTTAAAGATTTTATTTATTTGAGAGAGAGAGAGAGAGAGACAGAGAGAGAGAGAGCCCAAGAGGGGGTAGGGTCAGAGGGAGAAGCAGACTCCCTGCTGAGCAGGGAACCTGATGTAGGACTTGATCCCAGGACTCCAGTATCATGACCTGAGCCAAAGGCAGTCGCTTAACCAACTGAGCCACCCAGGTGCCCTAAGTTTTTCTTTCTTTACAATTTTGGGATGCAGTTTCTTCTAACAAAGAGACCAAAATACACCCAGAATCTAGTTTATGCTCTGTCCTGTTCACCTGTCACTTTATACTTTTTTTGTCTTTTAATTTCCATTTTTACACTTACATTCTATCCTTTCATTGTACGTAATTTTATTTTTATACATATATAAGTTTTTCTTTCTTTCCAATTTTAGGATCTAGTTTTCTAACAAATGAAACAAAATACACACAGGACCAATGTGTACGGATCTGTTCTGTTCACCTGTCTGATTCTCTTTTCTTCTTTAAATTTTTTCAGTTTCAGGCCTCTTCTGATTTGTTTAGTGTATATTTCTCTGGGGTCATTGTCGTCATTTTACTATTTTGTTCTCTCATCCATCTATTCTTCTCTAGACAGAATGACAAGATGGAAAAACTCACCTCCAAAAAGAGAACAAGAGGGAATACTGACTGCCAGGGACCTAATCGGTATGGACATAAATAAAATGTCAGACCGAGAGTTCAGAATAATTATATAGATACTAGCTTGGCTTGAAAAAAGCATGGAAGACACTAGAGAATCCCTTTCTGGAGAAATAAAAGAACTAAAATCTAATCAAGCTGAAATCAAAATGGCTATTAATGAGATGCAATAAAAAATGGAGGCTCTAACTGCTAGGATAAATGAGGCAGAAGAGAGAATTGGTGATACTGAAGACAAAACGATGGACAAAAAAGAAGCTGAGAAAAAGAGAGAGAAACAACTACTAGATCACAAGGGGAGAATTCGAGAGATAAATGATACCCTCAAGTTAAACAATAAAATAATTGGGATCTCAGAAGAGAAAAGAGAGAAAGGCAGAAGGTATATTGGAGCAAATTATAGCTGAGAACTTCCCTAATCTGGGGAAGGAAACAGACATTCAAGTGTAGGAGGCACAGGGAATTCCCCCTCAAAAATCAATAAAAATAGGTCAACACCACGACATATAAGAGTGAAGCTTGCAAATCTCAGAGACAAAGAGAAAATCCAGACAGCAGCTCGAGACAAGAGGTCCGTAATCTACAAGGGTAGAAACATTAGACTGGCAGCAGACCCATCCACAGAGACCTGGCAGGCCAGAAAGGACCGGTATGATATATTCAAGTGATAAATGAGAAAAATATGCAGCCAAGAATACTTTATCCAACAAGGCTGTCATTCAAAATAGAAGGAGAGAGAAAAAGCTTCCAGGACAAACAGAACTAAAAAGAATTTGTGATCACTAAACCAGTCCTGCAAGAAATAGTAAAAGGGATGCTTTAAGCAAAGAAAGCGCCCAAAAGTAACACAGACCAGAATGGAACAGAGACAATATACAGAAACAGTGATTTTACAGGTAATACAATGGCACTAAATTCATATCTTTCAATAATTGAATGTAAATGGGCTAAATGCCCCAATCAGAAGACACAGGGTATCGGATTGGATAAAAAAGCAAGACCCATCGATATGCTGTCTGCAAGAGGCTCATTTTAGACCTAAAGACACCTCCAGACTGAAAGTGAGCGGGTGGAAACCATTTATCATACTAATGGACATCAAAAGAAAGCTGGGGTGGCAATCCTTATATCAGACAAATTAGATTTTAATAAGAGACAGATTACATTTTAATAAGAGATGAGGAAGGACACTATATCCTACTTAAAGGGTCTATCCAACAAGAAGATCTAACAATTGTAAATATTTATGCCGCTAACATGGGAGCAGCCAATTATATAAACCAATTAATAACAAAATTAAACACACTGATAATAATACAATAATAGTAGGGGACTTTAACACCCCACTCATTGCAATGGACAGATCATCTAAGCAGAAGATCAACAAGGAAACAAGGGCTTTCAATGACACATTGGACCAGATGGACTTCACAGATACATTCAGAGTATTTCATCCTAAAGCAATAGAATACGTTCTTCTCGAGGGCACATGGAACATTTTCCAGAATAGATCACATCCTGGGTCACAAATGAGGTCTCAACTGGTACCAAAAGATTGGGATCATTCCCTGCATATTTTCAGACCACAATGCTTTGAAACTAGAACTCAATCACAAGAGGAAAGTTG